AAGTAAAATACTAAAAGGGTGGCAACAACCCCAGGAAAATATGCTTTAGCCAAATCAGAAGAGATCCCAAATCGTGAGGGGGGGGGAAGGGGATAAAAAGAGGTTCAGAAAGAAAAAGAAAAAAAAAAGAAAGAAAAAAGAAACAAATAAAAAAAGAAAACCAATAATGAAAAAAATATAAAAAGGAAAAAAAAATACATATATATTAGATAAACTAGTTAAAAAACGTTAAAAAAGAAAAGGGTAAAAGTTAAAAAAATTTAGCAGAAGAAGAGAAAAAAAATTGAAAAAGAAAAAAAAATTAAATTAACTGCAAGGCTAAAGAATCATGGGGAGAAAGCCATGAGTTCCGTGCTTTGCTTTCTCCTCCTCTGGAATTCCGCTGCTCTCCTTGGTATTGAAACTGCACTCCTCCAAAGTGAACTTGGTCCTGGCTGGGTTTCTTGTTGATCTTCTGGGGGAGGGGCCTGTTGTAGTGATTCTCAAGTGTCTTTGCCCCAGGCGGAGTTGCACAGCCCTTACCAGGGGCCGGGCTGAGTAATCCGCTCGGGTTTGCTTTGGGGAGCTTTTGTTCCCTGAGCGCTTTCCGTAGAGTCCGGAGGACGGGAATGAAGATGGCGGCCTCCCAGTCTCCGGCCCGGAGGAGCTGAGAGCTCGGGGCCCCACTCCTCAGTGTGCCCTCAGAGAACAGCGCCCAATTACTCCTGTCTGCCTGGCCTCCGGCCGCGCTCCGAGCTCACCGAGCCTGCGACCGGTTCAAGGTAAGCCCGAGCTTTGAGCTCACTCCTCGGCTCCGTCTCTGTAGCTGGCTTCCCCGTTCTAATACCTGCAAGCTCTGCGACACTCAGACACCCCGATCCTTCTGTGACCCTGCGGGACCTGAGGCCACACTGGCCCCGCGTGGGCTTCACCCCAGTTAAGCCTCTGGAGCAATGTCCCTCAGCGGAACAGACTTTTAAAAGTCCTGATTTTGTGCTCCGTTGCTCCGCCGCTTGCCAGGAGCCAGCCCCTCCCCCCGGGGTCTATCTTCCCGTCGCTTTTGGATTCACTTCTCTGCCAGTCCTACCTTTCAGAAAGTGGTTGATTTTCTGTTTCTAGAATTGCTGTTCTTCTTCTCTTCGATCTTCCGTTGGATTTGTAGGTGTTTGCAATCTTTAGATAAGCTATCTAGCTGATCTCCCGCTACCTGAAGTTGTCTCAGCTGCTACTTCTCTGCCATCTTGACTCCTCCCCTCCCTAATGTCCAGCTTTTGACCTTAAGTGTAACAATGTGAGATGAAAGTTTTTCTAAACAGCTGATATGGCCCAGTTTTATATGTGGTCTGTTAGGTATTCTTAGTGTTTCAATATTTTTATTATAACTGGCCATTAGTAATTAAAAATGAAATTTTAAAGAATCAGAGACTTTGTAGGAATTGACTATTGTAAATAACCCACACTAGACAGCATAGGAGGTTTCTTTTTCTTCTTCTTTCTTTCTTTCTTTCTGTCTTTTTTTTTAATCGCAGGATATTTCTAAGATTAGTTATTATGCTCCAAAAAGTCTAGAAATCCTAATAAGATACAACCTGATGTTAGCATTACCTTGGTGACTGTACTGATATTTAATTTAATGAAGTAATAAATTTAGAAATATATTCTTGCATGCATTTGTTTCTAGGATTTATTTTATGAAAATCTATTTACAGACTAATAAAAAAAATCTCAAATAGTGATGCATGCATGCATTATACTACACATTACCAATAATTTATAAGAGAGAAGATTACTTCAATAATTGTTAACACAAGCAAGACAGGCTAATTGCCATAAAACATGTCAATATAATGGTTATTAATAGTTCACATCCACTGTAAAAATCACTTGAACCTAGACTATGCATGTAAACATAGATACAAACTTCCTTGAAATGACATACATTTATATAATATTGGCGGTTTTGCTTAAGAAAATGAGCACGGTTTTTAAAAAAATGAAAAGGGAACTATGAATAAGAAGTGCATAAATATGTGAATTTTCAGTATTATTGATTGGTTCTTCTTTTCATATTATGTACTTATCATTGGTCCTGAATTCATTAGGAGGGCAAAATTAACTGCATGATTTAGAGTGAGGCTTATGCTGTTACCAAAATCTGTTAAACTCCAAGGTCAACTTTAATTCTGAGGTAGCTACATAGAAGAAGAAAGAGAAATAAGAGAACCAAATTAAAAAAAAAATAACAAACATTAAGAGTGGTAGGAAAAGAAAGAGGTAAAATGTGTACCTAACTGCTCAGAAAAGAAGTTGAGTAACAGTTGCAGAACAGTGAAAGTCTGAATTTTATCTCATCTTCTGTTTTTCTTCCCTTTACCCCTTCCTCTTCTTCAGAATTAAACATGTGTATTCCCCCACAAAAGCAGACTTCACTTGAATAAGTTATAAAATTAAGCATCATGTGAACAAAAAAATTACATAAAAGGGTATTTTCTGTGTTTAGAATGTGGAAATGGAACTTTGTGATATTAGTGTTTCAAGTGCAACTAGTAAGCCCTAGAAAGTGAAGGCAGTGGAGTTAATGTTTTACAGCATACAAAGATAAAGCAGTATCCTCACATTTTAGAATTAGTCTGTCTAATGAGGAGGACTTACGAGTAAAAAATACTCAAAAAATAAAAAAGGAATAATTAGGAGCTGAAAAAGGACTGATTCATTTTTACTGGCAGAAACTTAAAAACTCATTTGTCACCTTCTAATATGTTTCATTCATTCAAATGATGTTTATCAGTCCTCTGTCATGTACCACATTCTGATTAAGGCATTAGGATAAAACAGTGGACATAAAAAATTTCAACTCTCATGGAATATTCCATAAGGTAGGCTTGCCTTACCTTATGAATAAGTATAAGATGCTAATAACAACCATAATAAAATGATAACTATCATATTGCTGATTTAACTGGCACTGGTCTAAGCATATTACATATATCAAATTATTGAATCCTCATGTCAATACTATGAAGCAATTACTAATAGTATTTCCATCTTATAAATATGGAAACTGGGGCATTCTGCTAAGTAATTTGCCCAAAGTCACATAGCTACTAAACAGCAAAGCTGGTGGTATCAGTTAGATAATATTAATTGTTATGTAGGGAAAAAAATACACAAGTGAGACATGGTTAGGTAATAATAGAATGTGGCAAGGATGAAGGGAATAGTTATTTTATTAAAAAGTTGTTATGGAGTATTACACTGACAAAATAATGTTTGAAAACAAACCTGAAAGAACCAAGGAAATAATACCTAGAAGAAAATGGTCCAGGCAGTGGGAAAAGTAGAGGAGTGGAGATGTGCTTAATATGCTTAAGAAACAGCATGGATGTGTCTAGGGCAGGATAAGTGAAGACTATAGCAGAAGTAAAACTGATCAGTTTGGCTGTAGTGCTGAGGTAGATAGTATTCTGAAGTATCTGAGCAGAAGAGAAGATACATGATCTAATATGTGCTTAAAATGATCACTGACCGAATTAATTTAAGAATTGAAGGGAGAAAGCAAGAAGGCCAGTTGGGGACAATGATATTAATCTAGTCAGAAGACTATAGTTGCTTGAAGTTGGTGGGGTTGAGTGTATGAGCCATGGTTGAACTATGAATATATGATGTCTTGATGAATTATCTGAGGTGTGAGAGGAGTGAGTTAAAAACTATTACAGGTTAATGTTTAGTCTTGAAATAATAATGGTCTAGATTAATCCTTCACTCCACAAAAAGTTTATGGGAAAAGCTGGTTGATAGGGAGTAAAATATAAGAGTAAAATATAATGTTGAAAAAGAGAAAAGTGAATGTCTTTTAGTAGGTATGAGTAGATAGAATATAATGCATGAAGATTAGTTTTGGATAGGGGCTCAGAAAGCTAATTTGTTGTAGCAAGAAGAAAGGCAGAGTCTATGGGTAAGGATGAAAGTGAGTTGGTAAATAATAGTATCTTGACCAACTTTACAATCAAATCATAAAACACACCCTCATTCTATAATATTCAGATATAAATTCAGCTTCACTTATATATTGGTATGCTGATTAGAAAAGAGATATTTGATATTCCACAGGCCATGTGTATTATAAAATTAGAATTGTGTTTTAGGTTATATACATGAATCTGTTATGATATTGGTTAATGTCAGTCAGTCATAGGGGCTATTCACCTCTGAGTACATTAACAATCACATTTACGATCTTTCCTGCCTTACAAGAGGATCCCTATAGATGGTACTTAAATCAAGATACTGACAATCTGGGGTTTTACTAGTAAATTCAGCTAATTGCTTCAGTTGATTCCCTGTAATTATACTGCAGATATGTGTACACAAACACACACACATACACACACACACACACACACACACACCCCTGCAATGCTTAATAAAGGATTGGAATTTAAGAAACAAGACAGAGGATCATAGAGGAAGGGAGGGAAAAATAAAATAAGATGAAATCAGAGAGGGAGACAAACTGTAAGAGACTCTTAACTACAGGAAGCAAAATGAGCATTGCTGGAGGGGAGGTGAGTAGAGAGATGAGGTAACTGAGCGATGGTTATTAAGGAAGGCATGTGATGTAATGAGCACTGGGTGTTACATGCAAATGATGATTTACTGGACTCTACATCTGAAATTTCTCCCAAGAGATCAATGCATATAGATAATCAATGATACACTATATGTTAGCTAATTGAATTTAAATAAGTCATAAAAGAGAAAAAAGGATTAGCAAGATGTCTTATTAATTTTATGCTTAGTAGATAGCAGTCCTCAGATGATACTTTTCTCTCCTATCCCACCTGCTTTTGTTTGCTGTCTGTTATTTTATATGTTCACCTCTAGGATTTTCCGTAAAAAATCAATTAGATGTAACATATTTTGGGAAATTTTTTTAATCAATTAATACATTTGTGACTATTTTGAATGCTAGCTTTGTGCTAAATAAGTCCTACATTAGGCTATGGAGGATTCAGAAGAAAGATAAGAAATACTTCTTGTCCGCAAGTGTCTTCGTTTTTCAGTACTCTTCTTGTTTGTTCTTGTGTCTTTCATTGTCTTCTTTTCTCCTTCAACCACCATTTATTTTTTTCTGGGTCCTATGCTGATATCCAGCCATTTCAAATATCTAACTTCATTTATCCTCTTCAACCAAAATACCCCACCTGATTCCAGCCTCTCTATACCTTATGGTTTATAAGTACTCAGCATATATTTAGGATCCTGCAGATTAATTGGAGCTAGTATGATAAATGCATGCATGGTCCTAAGGTGTTATTAATTGAAAATGCTCAAATACATTAACACACTGTTCTGGTTTATTTCAGTCTGTATTATTTCCTTTCATGCCAATAAGGTTATCTTTGGCAATGCCAGAATTATGAACATTGTCTCTTATCAGCAAAATATTATGAATTAATACTAAATTTTAACTTCCTTGAAAAGAAATGTTCAAAACTATTACACATTGTTTTTAGATATTGTCCATCAGAAAAATTGACAGTCTGTCCATTCTTGATTGTTACTTCTTTTGTATTAGAAACCTCATATATTATATTCACCTTCAAGATCCACCACCTGCATCAAAGTAACTGAGTATTTTTCAGCTATAGCTCAAATGACACCAGAAAGGGCTTGAATCAGAGAATGTACTAAATTCATATGTTTAGAATTAATCAAAAGAGAGGTCAATCCATAAAAATGCCCTGCTCTGTAACTAGCCCTAAGAGATTTCTCTTAAAAAGAAATCTAAATTTTGGGGCACCTGGATGACTCATTCAGTTAGGCATCTGCCCTTGGCTTGGGTCATGATCCCAGGGTCTGGGATGGAGCGACACATTGGGCTCCCTACTCAGTGGGGAGCCTGCTTCTCCCTCCACCTCTCCTCCCACTCCCCCTGCTGTGCTCTCTCTGTCAAATAAATAAATTAAATCTTCAAGAAAAATCTAAATATCTCCTAAGAGATATGGCATACAAATTATCTGTAATAGGGAACCTCATATTGAGACCCCATATCTTGACAGATTAGTGATGCAAGGCCATATCTCTTGAGGTGAAGTCTAATAACTAAGATTTCTTTTGTGAGACAATTTAGTAGGAAGCTTTAGGGTGAAAATTTTGTGTTGGAGGAATTTTTTAATTTGGGGAAAGATTTTAACCTTTATTGATGTGCTTTATTGTCAAGGAAAAATAATTCCATATTTTCTTGTGCATGTGAAGTGTGAGCAGAAACAGCATGGTCATTTGCCTTAGAATTTTACAGTTGTTCAATCTACAGTATTGAAGTTGTATGTCCCATCTTGTGTGGTGGTAATAGCAAAGCTTAAATATACCTAGGCTTAATTGTATTTTCTTTGCCTGATATTTTCCAATTTAATTAAAGCTTCCATAATGTCAAGTGTTTTTCATATTAATTCCTGTTAACAGGAGACACTGCAGTCATGAATATTTTGCTTTCTTGTTTATTTGATCCCATGATATTCTATACCTTTTAGTATGAAAGAATGGCACAAGGCCTGGCACACAGGGGGCATGTATTAAATATTTATTTATCTTTAAAGACAGGGATCTTAATATCATAATGTTAATAATTGCTTAAATGCATTGAGAGATGACTATGTGCCCAAACCAACTCTAGATTAAGAAGCTCTATACTGTTTGGACACATAGATGGCATTTTGTTATAGCAGTTTGACATTAAGGTTGTTTGGAAATATCCTGCCACCCCCTTCCCCCAAAAAACCCAACTAGGAAAGTGATTATATTTTGAAATATGTCATGTATTATTTTACATATTTCCAGGTAATTTTTGGGATCATTATTCCATTACATACTTGCGCTTCCTAGCATCCCTATAATTGCTCTAGGTTTGAGGCAGGAATTTACTAGTCAGTAATGAAATGAAATTCAGAGATGGGATGGAGGTCATTGCTGAGGTCCAGATATGAGGAGTAATTCACATTATTTGGTGAATTTAAATAATCAACAAACCAACAGACAATGTTTTAATTTTTTAAATTTTTTTTTACATTTTAACTCTGTTTCTTTGACATCCCATTATGTTAAAGAGACTCATAAACTCAATAATGACCAAAAAACCCTCAATAATGACAAATACTCTCCTTTGGATTAGACATAATATGTTTAAAGGAGCTTCAAAAATTAGATACTGTGACTGCTTCTTGCTTATTTTCTGACAGTAGCTATTATTACTTGGTTAAAACCACAGCAACCTAATCCGTATTCCAAACCATGTATGCTCGAGTACTTAGGTTTTTGGATTATATTAGCTTCTTATTATTAGCTTCTTATTAACACTCAGAATAGGAAAGAAAATAAATCTATTCAATTTGGCATGACAGCTAAGAAAAATAGTAATTACCAGAACTTGAGTGATCTTGAGGAAGAAAATGAGTTAACAGTTTTACAAAAGCCAGTGTTCAGCAATTTCATTTGAAAAGATGACTGCAGGAGTCATTTGTCTCTTTCTGCCTCAAATCTGTACAAATTTGATAGGAAACTATAAGAAATATTTCATTAGAAAAGAAATTTTAGGCTTTGTCCTATTCCTTGCCTGGAAAACTTTATAAAACTGAAGTTCTTTCTTGAGCCACAGTATGACTTTTTTAAAAGGTATGTTTGTTTGTTTGTTTTAAGATTTATTTACTTATTTAATATAGAGAGAGAGACCAGAAATAGGCAGAGAGGCAGGCAGGGAGAGAGGGGGAAGCAAGCTCCCCACCAACCAGAGAGCTTGATATGGGGCTCAGTCCCAGGACCTGAGATTATGACCTGGCCCAAAGGCAGAGGCTTAACCCACTAAGCCACCCAGGTGCCCCTTTTTTAAAAGGGTTTATCTAACCTCAATTGATTTGATAACTTCTGGTCTTAAGAGCTCTTCTTAAATTTGTTATTAATTCCTTATTAATCAGATTTCTTTGAAATGCAGGAAAATATGGACTTCCTCTAGAGAAAATTTTGCTTACATATATACAAAATTAATGTGTACAATTTAAGGAAATTTGTGAATCCAAAAGCACTAATCTCTAGTGTTAGGGCAATAGGGATACTTTATTGG